ATAATGATTGTTGCTTTGATGTGTAACTTCGCAAAAACTATGTATGACTTCAGTTTTCTTTGGTCCCCTCCCCAACCTGACCAGGGACAACATGTTTAGTCGTATGTTGTCATTCAACCACTGGCTGTCCAGTTGACCTGAAAACAATGTGGGCTACATAGAAAACTGGAGAGCTTTGAGGGGAAAACCTGGTCTGATGCAGAGAGATGGATTCTATCCCACTTTGGTTGGAACTGCTTTTCTTTCTAGAAATTTGAGGAAAAATTGGGAATTATTCAGCTCTGATTTCACCTTGCTCTCTCAGCCATCTTCCTGCCTGATATCTACACATAGAGGCTGAACCAATCTATAACTCGTTAGGACAAATTCTTCTTACTGGTGATCAAGGTGCCTTCAATATTAGAAACAGAAGTCCAATTTCAATGAGTTGACAAGTTTCCAAGTTAGACTTCCGTTGGATTCATTTCATTTTGTTAGTTTCCGTTAAACTTGCCCCATCATTGCATAATAGACCAAAGTTTTTAATTTGTCTCAAAGTTACCCTGCATTATCCATATTTATATTTATGTTGTTCCTTTTCAATATTATATTTTCACTAAGACATTTTGCTGTCACTTGTTATATTCACATATGCCAAGAAATGTCACAAAAATAGTGCCAAACACAAATTCAGTGTGTGAATGAAATTATAATATCAGAGTCAGAGTCAGAGTCAGTCAGAGTCAGAGTTTCTTTATTGTCATTCGCACCTCATGTGGTACATGTGGTGGAGCGAAATTATGTACACGGGGTCCCAGTTACTTCCGACAATAAAATGTATAAGAAAAACAGTAATAACATCTAAGATATGAACTAAGAAAAACATCAACTATTAACTAATATTACTAATATTACTATCAACTAATATTACTCCGAAGAGAAGAATTTATGATTTTGGGGTGATTTATTGAGACTGATAATATAAAATTATAAATTAGAGAGTTATACTGTATTTTCTTCCCTCTTCTATGAAGGTGATGCTCCAGGTTGATAAGCTGTGAATTAGTAATATCTCACATATTATCTATTCTACTGTCTACCCATACATCACCAACCCCTGAGGCAGAAACAATGACTTTCGGCTAAATTGGGCAGTGCCTGTCCTGTCCTCTCCACATGGTGCATCCTGGTCTGATTGGCCAGCAAAACCCTGGAAAGACGAGTGAACTCGCGCAAACTGACCTGGTAATGAGCAGAAACCTGGTGACATGAATGCAACTTTGGGTCTGGGTCTGCTGGATATGCTTATGCAACCTGATGAATCATTTCCTAAATTACTTGATCTGGTCATATTAAATAACTTCTATCAACCAAATTCCAAAGTAAACTATTTATCAAATAGTTAAATTGTGTCTAAATTTGTGCACATATAAAAACCAAAATAATTACTGCTCAAAGAATTAACTGTGTCCTAGATTAAAGAGAATTAATCCTTGTCTGATTACCATTTACTGTAGATGGTTCATTATCTCCAAATTATTAACCTTTATTATTTTTGTTGTTCAATTTGTTTATTATTGTTGATGATTCTTTGTTCGATTAATCCATCTATCCATCCCATCTACTATCTTTACCTGCGTCTTCCTTTTTGGGTCACATGGGTCACTGGTGCCCATGTCCAGCAGTCACTGTGCAAGAAGCAGGTTACAACTTGGACTGGTCTCCAGTACATCACAGGGACACATAGAGACAAACGAGACAAACAACCATTCACTCTCACTCATACCTATGGACAATTTAGAGTTGCAAGTTAGTCTAACATGTATGTTTTTGGTCTGTGCAAGGAAACCAGAATACCCGTAGAAAACCCATACTTCGTGGAGAGAACATGCAAACTCCATCCAGAAAGGTGCCTGGCTGGGATTTGATACGATAACCTTCTCGCTGAGCAATAACATCTATACTATCTGAGCCACCCTGCCACCTATGAATTGTTTAATCAATTGAAAAAGAGTAGCACCTCAGCTTAGTCTAATGTAGTTTGAATGTCATAAGTAGAATACACTTTATTTATGAAGATAGAACTGTGGGCCAAGTAGTTGCATGTGGGTCCAAAAAATCTGACCCGACCTGGCCCTAGCCCGCAGCCATCATTTCCGAACCCCACCCAATCGGACAAATTAACAGTAATTACAGAATTACAGGTCCAGCCCCCGGACATTTTTAATTAAGCTTTGACTGCTTATATAGTTATTAACGGTCAGCGGATGCGTGCGGCTGAGTAACGGGGGCAAATGATTGAAGCTGAGGGGGTGTTTGTCCTTTCATGGCCATCAAAGCGCATTAAATGCTTCCCCTGTTTCTGCTTGCAGTGGACCCTAATCTGACATGTTGGAGGGGGTGGTTGAGTGGTTAGAGCAGTCGTCCTCCAATGCATGAGCTGGCTGGAAATTCGATTCCATCAGTGGTCACATGCCCAAGTGTCGCTGGGCAAGACACTGAACCCTTCATTACCTCCATTGTGTGTCCCATCGGTGTATGAATGTGATAAAGCACTGATTATTCTTTGTATATGTATAGTAGAGTGCTGTATGAATGGGTAAATGAGGCACAGGTTGTAGTGTAAAGTACTTTGAGTATCTTGATAAGATAGAAAAGCGATATATAACGGCTGTCCATTTACCATATATATACAGATAATGTATATTTTATGATTGAATATATAAAGTACATTTTATTATATATATATATATACATATATATATATATATATATATATATATATATATATATGTGTTTATATATATATATATATATTTATATAGATATGTGTGTGTGTGTGTGTGGTTTTGTTTCAAGTTACATTGTGAAGACCAACTCTCCTTATGGGGAAAAAAGCCTGTTCCCCATAAGGAGAAGTCTCGTGAGTTAGGGGTTAGGCTTAGGACTAAGGTATGAATTGGGGAAGGTTTAGGATGTAGTGGACTAGGCCCATGTCAAAAACTAAGTCTAAGGTCAAAAATCTTGACCTTAAGAACCTTGTGGGACAGGAACTGTCATTTCATTGATTTGAATCCAGAAATGCAGGTTCACCCATCCTGAGACTTTCTCTCTTGAAGATTCATGTGAAAGAACACTCTCTTTTTTATTATCATTACTGTTTTACAAATGTTGATAATCAAAATGTCTTAGTTCAAACCATTTTAGATGTTGCAGTGAACTAATCAATTTTATTAACTGTGTAATGATTTTTTCTCATGCAAAGTTAGAATTCATGTTGAAAGCTGTTACAGAGTAATTATGCCTTTTCTGATTTCTGCTTTTGAATGAGCAAGTGTAAGTTGGTCCAAGGTTGGAGTCAAACGCAGAACAAGTTGTTAGAACGAACTGTCATGTTTTTAGAATCCTCTCAGACATAAATATAGAGGTTTTTGCACCTGTTTCTGAAACGCGCCAAAACAAAACTCTCTCTGTCTGTGAGAACATTGATTTTACATTTCTGATCTTTCCATAACAATTCTTGCTGTCTTCTAACCTCTTACGTCACAAAACACACCCCGTCTGGTTGTTTCTGACCAATGGGATTACTCCCAAAAGTGAACCGGGAGAGAGATCTTTAAAATGTCGGTACTTCCTGGTCTACTCAGGTTCTGTTGGGTTCAGTTCGAAGCTCTGGAGAAGTTCTGGGATGGTGCTAGAACAGTTCTGGGACAGTTCTGTTCGGTTAAGCCCAGTTCTGGGAGAAGGGATGATCCTGACATGACAACAGAGCTCTTCCGAGTTCCATGGGATTATAATATTTTCACTCGCCACTACTTCTGACGATTCACAGCATCCTAAGGAGACGCTGGACAGGTAGCGTTAACGGAGCTCCATATCTGCTGATTACCTTCAGAAAGGTAACGAGTCAAGTTTCCTACCAAGCGTACCGGGGAGAGCTGGGTTCTGACGGAGAGTGTCAATTCTGGTGAACACTTCCCCTCCCATACCATCTTTACTCCCTCTAAACTTCTTTCCCATCTTTAAACTTTCTATCAAGTAGAAATTCTTCCAGATATTTAGAAATGTCTGTGTAAAGTGCTCATCCACATCCGTGTGGGTAAAAGATCATAATTGTACAGTTTCATAAATGTCTGTGGTGAAGCAACGGAAAAATCATGGCCGTATGATTTTTCCTGATTGATTGCTTATGTTGTTATTTTCATAATTTGCCAAATTAATGTAAATGTTTGATGTTAAACTTTGATTCTGTAAATAAATGACCGCATTCATTTTGATGGGTCAAATATAAATGACGTCTCACGTTTGCATTTCCTTAAATTCAATGCACGTTTTATTCAGTCCAGAAAAATGAGGAATCCGTGTTAATCGATGAATATATCTGAGCATCTGTTCATCTACAAGGATAAGAACAATCAGAATTCTGATGTGTGTGTGTGAGTGTGTGTGTGTGTGTTTGTGTGTGTGTGTGTGTGTGTGTGTGTGAAAGAGTAAGAGAGAGAGAGAGAGAGAGAGAGAGAGAGAGAGAGAGAGAGAGAGAAAGAGAGAGAGAGAGAGAGAGAGAGAGAGAGAGAGAGAGAGAGAGAGAGAGAGAGAGATAGAGAGAGAGAGAGAGAGAGAGAGAGAGAGAGAGAGAGAGAGAGAGAGCAAAAAAGATACACTCAGAATCTTGAATTTTTTTAGATAAGAAAAGTAAAAAGACAAAGTATAAATGATGGACAAAATGAAGAATCACAGGTTGAATGCATCTTATGTCTGGGGAAAAATCACGTGACTAGGAGGTACATAAACTAAAAAATTCACATGAACACTCAATTACAGACTGTAGAGATATGGAGCTCATATCTCTCTTCATTGGTCTGAGAATAACAGCGAGTTTGTTGGAGCTGATGTTAATTGTTGTCTTGGGTGGGTCTCTGGATGATCTGAAACAGGGGATTGAGCCTATAGAGGTTCTGTCTACTGCTGGTGTCAGTACTGAGGATTCATCAGTTAAATGCACCCTTCAGAGTACTCCTCGTTTGCCTGCATTCTCAATGGATGGTGACTTTGTTATTGGAGGTGTTTTTACATTTCACTACAACATTTACACTGTGATTTATCAGTACACCACCAAGCCTGAGTCCTTAAAATGCACAGGGAGGTTAGTACAAGGAAAGCATTATGGAAAGAAATGTTAAGATATGATGTTTTTAACAGAAAATGTGTAATTTGTTGCAAAAAATGTTTGCGATTAGGAAAAGTTATTCTATTTTATTTTATTTACTGTTAGAACAACTCTGTACAGTCTTTTGTGTTTATAACTGCAAATGTTAAAAATAAGTTTTGCAGTTCATATTTAAATATTCATTCGTAATCTGCTTTTTTGTTCTATTTTAGAATTTATGCTTTTGTTTCACTTATAAATTGTTTTGGTATTTATTTAACTGATTTTTTCTGTGCAGCCTTATTATCCCACAACTGCATTTCTCTCGCACAATGATCTTTGCCCTCGAGGAGATAAACAACAGCACAGAGTTGCTGCCAGGCATCAAACTTGGATATCATATCTATGACTCATGTGCTTCAGTGCCTGTGGCTGTGCATGTGGCCTTTCAGCTGTCAAATGGCCACGACCCATTGTTTTACAAAGACGACAACTGTTCTCAATCTGGTGTTGTGACGGCTGTAGTTGGAGAATCTGGATCAACACCATCTATTAGCATTTCGCGAATCATTGGATCCTTTCTTATTCCTCAAGTAAATTACTGTTTTTTTATTGACTAAAATTATGAAATCTACCTGCTATATTTGAATATTTTTCATTAAAGCTATGTTATTGTTCTTGCTCTAGGTGAGCCACTCTGCCTCTTGTGCCTGCCTGTCAGATAAGAAGCAGTTTCCCACTTTTTTCAGAACAATTCCCAGTGATCAGTTCCAAGCTGATGCTCTTGCCAAGCTGGTGAAACACTTTGGCTGGACTTGGATAGGTGCTGTCCGCTCTGACTCAGATTATGGAAATTATGGTATGGCATCTTTTCTTGCTGCAGCTCAGAGAGAGGGGATCTGTGTGGAGTACTCTGAATCCTTCTATTGGACTGACCCTCAAAGCAAGATCCAAAGAGTGGCAGATGTTATCCGCAGGTTAAAATTCATTATTTATGTAACATATTATATATGTTTGTACACAACTATATGTCAAAAATCAGAATGGAAAATCTTGCATTGTATTACTGAAATGCTGTTTATTGTCCCTCCAGGTCAACAGCAAAGGTTGTTGTTGCATTTATGGATACTACAGAAATGAGGCTCCTTTTAGAGGAGCTGGCTCGTGAGCCTATACCACTCCGTCAGTGGATAGGAAGTGAGGGCTGGATCACAGACCCAGAGTTGATGGACTTTGCTTTCTGTGCTGGAGCCATTGGAGTAGCTTTGGAACAATTTCTTATACCAGGACTGACATATTTTCTGCTGGATCTCTCTCCTACTGAAGTTGCTGCCTCCTCTGTGCTCACTGAGTTCTGGGAGGATGCATTCAACTGTACATTGACAAAAGGTAAGCCTTTTTGTTAAGTTTATTTCTTCTTATTCCCATCACATAATGACCACCCACTATGCCTTCACAAAAATCACTGTCATTTGTTCACCTGATATTTCAACCTAGCAATTGCTCAAAAACACGGCATTCTCATTGTCAGAGCAATCAACTATATATCACATGTTTCTTCAAGCCTCAAGGTGACAATAAAATCACATGAATCAGTTTGAAGTTTCAGTTGTCTGTTTATGAATATGTATAAACCTACAACTATCTGTAGGTAACATCTGGGATGTGTGAATTTATTATTTATGTAGTAAATATGCTACCTCTGTCTTTCTGTATTTATAGAAGCTGGTTCACACAAGAGACTATGCAATGGAACTGAAAACATGAAAATGCTCAAAAACTCATACACTGAATTAACAATTACTAACCTAGTGTACAAGGCTGTTTATGCAATTGCTCACGCTATTCACAATGCAGTGTGTCAGAAAACAAATGTCACCACCCAGTGTGATAAACACTTCAGACTGGAGTCCAAACAGGTCAGGCAAAAAATTATTTTTTCTGGGATAATATATCATTAAAACCTCTTTTCTTCTTTAATTTTCTTTAAAAAATTTTTTTAGGTTTTATCAGAACTGAAAAAAGTCAACTTTTCCCGAAATGGCTATCCTGTATCATTTGATGTTAATGGAGATCCGGTGGCTTTTTATGAACTGGTCAACTGGCAGAAGAGTGAGAGTGGAGATATAGAAGTGGTGTCAGTAGGATACTATGATGCATCACTGCCAAAAGGCCAGGAATTTCGTATAAACGGCGGAATAAACTGGCTGGAGGATGACACACACGTACTAATCAAAATCACAAGGGTTTATGTGAACAGCATACAAAAACAAACACACTAAAAAACAGCAATAACAAAAATAATTATTATCTTTGTTTCTATAATAGGTTCCAGTGTCAGTGTGCTCCAAGAGTTGTTCTCCAGGAACTCGGAAAGTGTTGCAGAAAGGAAAACCCATCTGTTGCTATGATTGTATACCATGTCCTGAAGGAGAGATCAGTAATACAACAGGTAAAACAAAATTTAGTATTTTTAACTTTATGTTTGCTTCATTGTTTCAAGATTTAATTTGCACTAATAAATCTTTCTGATCAATTTTAGATTCTCCCAATTGTGTCCAATGTCCACGAGAATTTTGGCCTAATGTAGAAAGAGATGCTTGTTTTCCCAAACCTGTAGAGTTTCTGTCCTTTGATGAAGTCCTGTCAGTCATTCTGGCAGCATTATCTGTTACTGGGGCCTGTCTGGCCATCATAACAGGAGTTATTTTCTTTTGTCACAGAACAACTCCAGTTGTCAGAGCCAACAACTCTGAGCTGAGCTTCCTGCTGCTCTTCTCTCTGACTCTGTGTTTTTTATGTTCATTAACTTTCATTGGAGCTCCCTCTGAGTGGTCCTGCATGCTGAGGCACACAGCTTTTGGTATCACCTTTGTTCTCTGTATCTCCTGTGTTCTTGGTAAAACTCTAGTAGTTCTAATGGCCTTCAAAGCTACACTTCCAGGTAGTAATGTCATGAAATGGTTTGGGCCTCCACAACAAAGAATGACAGTAGTGTTTCTTACATTTATTCAAGTTTTAATTTGTACTGTTTGGTTGGTACTCAGCCCTCCATTCCCTGTAAAAAATCTGACGACATACAAGGAGAAGATCATCCTGGAATGTGCATTAGGCTCTGCTGTTGGCTTCTGGGCTGTGCTCGGATACATTGGCCTGTTGGCTGTTTTTTGCTTTGTGTTAGCTGTTCTAGCTCGAAAACTACCTGATAATTTTAATGAAGCCAAGCTGATAACCTTCAGCATGCTGATCTTCTGTGCAGTGTGGATCACCTTCATCCCAGCATACGTCAGCTCTCCTGGAAAGTTTACTGTGGCTGTGGAGATATTTGCTATTCTGGCCTCCAGTTTTGGACTGATACTCTGTGTATTTGCTCCAAAGTGTTTCATCATAATTTTTCAGCCAGAAAAGAACTCCAAAAGACATTTGATGAACAAAAATTAATTGTAAGCTTTCACAGTTTTGAAAACAACATTAAAAGCTCTCATCTGCAATAATACTTTACCAATTTACATTTTTTTGGGGAATTTTCTGCATTTTTTTAGTGATGGGATTCTTTATAGTTAAGGGAACATCAGCTTTTCCTTTCTTTTTTTTTTTTTTTTGCGGCATGGAATCCAATTCAAACTGTTTCCTTTGTCTTTTTTGAGTTTATATATATATTTTTCCTTTAATGTTCTGTAATGCTATCCAAATTAATTTTATAGCTTCTCTGACAATTTCCAATATTCTCTACATCCATCCATCCATTATCTTTTATCCACTTCTTCCATTTTGGGTCACATGGTTCACCAGTGTCCAGCAATCACTGTGCTAGTTGCGGGGTACACCCTGGACAGGTTTCCAGTCCATCACAGGGACACATAAAGGCAAACAAAACAAACACCATTCACTCTCTCACACACACCTAGGGACAATTTAGAGCTACAAATCAGCCTAATATGCATGTTTTTGGTCTGTGGGATGAAACCAGAGTACCCGGAGAAAACCCATGCATGCACGGAGAGAACATGCATACTCCACCCAGAGAGGACCCTGGACCAGGATTTGAACCAGGGACCTGCTCCCTGAGAGGTGGTAGTTCTACCAGTTGCGCCAACATGCTGCCATTTACTCTACATAATAAATAAAATCTTTGAATTTAAAACCACAACAACTATTTTGTATTGGTTCATTTCATTATAATTCAATTTTTGAAAATAGCATTTTGCATGTAGAAAGGAAACCCATCCATCCATTATCTTTACCCGCTTATTCCATTTTGGGTCACGTGTAGAAAGTAAATGGTTAATTATAATTAAATCTTTATTTCTGAGGACTTGAAGATGTTCACAGTACAGCACATTGTGTCACTTCCTGTTTTCTCTGCTGGAAGCTAGAGTAATGTGTTTGCTTGAGGAATCTTTTTTTTTTTTTTTCTAGATTTATCTGTCTTTTGCATAGTTCTACTTTACAGGAGCCACTGAGACTAGCTCCCATTAGTGGTCCTCCAGCAGACCCCGAGCAGCCAGGACCCCAGACCGGCTAGGCGACGGTCTGGAGTAAGCGTAGTGTTAATGCTAAGCCCCAGTTCACCATTGACCCATTCACATTTCTAATCAATTTTCCTTACTCACACACCTGCTGAGAAGCAGACCCTGGTTATTGGCAACTCCATAGTCCATAATGTGGCTTTAGGGACTCCAGCGACCTTAGTTAAAATGCATTCCAGGGGCCGAATTGGACGACATTGAATACTATCTGAAACTGCTGACTAAGGCTCAGGCTAAATTCAGTAAGATTGTTATTCATGTCAGCAGAATTGACACCCAGTTAAGCCAATCAAAGGTCACTATAATGATTGTTGCTTTGATGTGTAACTTCGCAAAAAGTATGTATGACTTCATAGTTTTCTTTGGTCCCCTCCCCAACCTGACCAGGGACAACATGTTTAGTCATATGTTGTCAATCAACCACTGGCTGTCCAGATGACCTGAAAACAATGTGGGCTACATAAAAAACTGGAGAGCTTTTTGGGGAAAATTCGGTCTGATGCAGAGATATAGATTTCATCTCACTTTGGTTGGAGCTGCTCTTCTTTCTAGAACTCTGAGGAAAAATAGAACTCTGAGGAAAAATTTGGAATTATTCAGCTCCGATGTCACCTTGCTATCACAGCCATCGTCCTGCCTGATATCTACACATAGAGGCTGAACAAATCTACAACTCCTTAGGACGGATACTTCTTACTGGTGATCAGGGTGCCTTCAATATTAGAAACAGAAGTCCAATTTCAATGAGTTGACAAGTTTCCAAGTTAGACTTCCGTTGGATTCATTTCATTTTGTTAGTTTCTGTTAAACTTGCCCCTCATTGCATAATATACCAAAGTTTTTAATTTGTCTCAAAGTTACCCTGCGTTATCCATATTTATCAGAATCAGAAGAATCAGAATCAGAATAAACTTTATTGGAATTGCACCGAGGTACAACGTGAATATGTAGGTACAGTCGTCTGAAAGATGGGCAGAGTGCACGAAGCTGCAACTGTAGAAAGCGCGGCCATTTTATCCTTATCAGATAATAATCTTAGATAGAAAAAGGGGTAGAAACATGAGGGTAGATAGTGGTATTACAAAAAAAGATCTTTCACATCTTGTCTATCAGGACACGATTTGAGACATCAAAAAACTCTACCAGCAAGCACAATTAAAACATGATTACATTTGCATTTGACATCAAGGTGTTGAGATTTGTCCATGAGCGTTTTTTCAGATCAGCCACAGTTTCTGAAGATGTTGTTCCAGCCAGCAGTTCTGATAAGCTTGCACAGAACGTTCTCGGGGGGTGGTGGTGGGGTGGGGGGGGGGGGGGGGGGGATAGATGAAGCTTTTGTCCTTGGGTACTCATGTCCCAGGATAAATTGATAGTTGGCCTGTCTCCGAGGCCGTCGGGAGTCAGATTTAGATAAGCTTGATTCTTGTTTTTTCTTCAGGCAGACAGATAACTTTTTTCTTCAGCCTTGAGTCCATCTGGGTGTTCTGGTTCCGAAAATGCCTAATTGTGGGGTTCCATTCCACTGATCCATGCTATGAGTCTCCTTCAAGGTCGAACCCACCACGCTGACGAGTCCCAGAAGCCGCAGGTGGCCTGCGATTCTCATAAATCGCCTCCACCTTATGGTTAAGCTCGTAAACCAGACGATTCAAAGTTCCCACAGCGTGGACCAGACCTTCACACTGACTTGGAAGCTTTACCATGGCCAGGGGAGGAAAAAACAGAAGCAGCCACCTCAATGAGAGCCTGGGAGGAAAAAAAAAATATTATAGTTTATATTGTTCCTTTTCAAAATTATATTTTCACTAAGACATATTTTGCTGTCACTTGTTATATTCATATATGTCAATAAACATCACAAAAATAGTGCCAAACACAAATTAAGTGTGTGTAAATGTAATTATGATATTACTTCGAAGAGAATAATCATGGTTTTGGGGTGATTTATTGAGACTGATAATATTATAAATCCGTGCTTTATAGTTCCTTCCCTCTTCTGTGAGGGTGATACCTCAAGGTTGATAAGATGTGAATTAGTAATAACTCACATATTATACATTCTATTGTTTCCCCCTACATCACCAACCCGAGGAAGAAACAATGGTTTTCGGCTAAATTGGGCAGTGCCTGTCCTGTCCTCTCCACATGGTGCATCCTGGTCTGATTGGCCAGCAAAACCCCGGAAAGACGAGTGAACTCGTGCAAACTGACCCGGTAATGAGCAGAAACCTGGTGACATGAATGCGACTTTGGGTCTGGGTCTGCTGGTTATGCTTACGCAACCTGATCAATCATTTCCTAAATGACTTGATCTGGTCACATTAAATAACTTCTATCAACCAAATTCCAAAGTAAACTATTTATCAAATAGTTAAACTTTGTCTAAATTTGTGCACATATAAAAATCAAAATAATTCCTGCTCAAAGAAATACAAAGTAATTGTGCCCTAGATAAAAGATAATTAATCCTTGTCTGAATATCATTTAGATTTTTCATTTTCCATCCATCCATCCATTATTTTTTACCCGCTTCTTCCATTTTGGGTCACAGGGGTCGCCGGTGCCCATGTCCAGCAATCATTGTGCAAGGGGCGGGGTACACCCTGGATGGGTCACAAGTCCATCACAGGGACACATAGAGACAACTGAGACAAACAACCATTCACTCTCTAACTCACACCTATGGACAATTTAGAGTCGCAAGTTAATTTAACATGCATGTTTTTGGTCTGTGCGAGAAAATCAGAGTACCTGTAGAAAACCCTTACATCATGGAGAGAACATGTATGCTCCACCAATAAAGGCACCTGGCTGGGATTTGATCTGGTACCCTTTTCGCTGAGTGGTAACATCTCTACCAACTGAGCCACCCTTGTCACGTATGAGTTGTTTAATCGATCGAAAAAGAGTAGTACCTCAGCTTAGCCTTGTTAAGACGGGAGTTGGCTGCGGGCCACCGGACCCGGAAACCAGCCTCCAGCCCACGTCTCTCCTTCCGACTCGAATCTCCCTCAGAAGTGGCAACTCACAATATCAATAAATCAAGGAAAAATCAATTAAGTTTTACCAAATGTATTAAAATCAAGGCAGGAAAAGTCGACAGTTTACAGCGCTGGTCTCTCCAGTCTGTGACATGTTCACAAACCCGGAAGAGCCCCCATGTCCCATGTCATTACTCACATCTTCTGTCCTGCTCTTCTACAAAAGAGATATGGGGTTTAACGAACCTGGACTTACTGAGAACCCTGAACATTTATACTATATATTTTGGCATGATTAAGTTTAGCTTATTGATCAAGCCCACCACAGCAGCCCAAGATATGTATGTGCCACAAAGGGGGAAAAAAAAGCCCACCACTGTCTTAGGACTTAGGACTGTCTATCAAAGAAAATGAGCAAGTTTTGCTCAATCATACAAAAGACAGTGTTACAGTTTAGCAGTAGCAGAGACACTAGCAGAGACACTGCACAGCTGCAGATAGAAAATCTTTGCAGAGAATGGTGAAGGCTGCACATAAGTCTGTTAGAGTCAGCCTCCCCACCATCGCAGACATCTACTCCTCGAGATGCAGGAAGAGGGCCACCTGCATCATGAAGGACCCCACTCACCCAGCACACTTTTTGTCCCGCTCCCCTCAGGAAGGAGGTTAAGGAGCATTAAGTGTGGAATCACTAGACTGAGGAACAGCTTCTACCCTGAAGTTGTTAGACTCATGAATATCTAACCAGGATAATCACTGAAAAACCACATCATGTTGCTGCTGATCTGTTTCATGTTGATGTGTTCATTCGTGCTCATCTGCTCACACAGACTCATGTTCGTGCTGCTGTTCGGTGTATTGTATTCATGCTATTAGTGCTTAGTGTATTTTTAGTTAATGTTTTTCTTATTTCATATCTTAGATGTTATTACTGTTTTTCTTTTACATTTTATTGCTGGATGTAACTGGGACCCTGTGTACACAATTTTGTTCCACCACATGTACCACATGTGGTGCAAATGACAAATAAAGGAACACTGACACTCTGACTCTGATTAAAGACCTGATCTTAAATGATGAGTCATTAATAATGATAATAATAATAATTAAAAAAAATAACTGTGAGGCCATCGGTTTTTTTTCTTCTAATGAAGAATAAAAAGAGGTATATAAATCAGAACAAACACACACACAAACTAAGACTCTTGAGAAATGGAGATCAGGTCCATGTTTAGAAGCCTGAGAATGGCAGTGAGTTTGTTGATGTCAGTTGTTCTGTGTGGGTCTCTGGATGGCCTAGAACAAAATATTACACTTGCAGAAGCTCAGACTGGTGCCAGAGTTATCACTGAAGCTTCATCAATGAAATGTACTCTCTGGACCACCGCTTGTCAACCTGTTTTCTCAGTGCATGGAGATTTAATCATTGGAGGCATTTTTTCCATTCACTACAAATTGCTCACTGTGACTAATAACTACACAACCAAGCCTGAGCCTCTAAGATGCACAGGGAGGTTAGTAAGAGGAAGAAATGATATTAATTATAAATATTTTGTGTGTGTTTAGTATTTCATTGTTTCTTTTTGTGTTTATGCTTTTTTGTTTTTATTCCTGACATTTAACACAGGGTGATCTGATTTAGTATTTCATTGTTTCAGATTGTGTTTTTATGTTTTTATTCCTGATGCTGTAATTATATCTTTTTTTTAATTATTATTTGATGCTGTGATCTTTTTGTTAAGCACTTTTGGTAACTGTTTGAAATGTGCTTTATAAATAAATCTTGACTTGGTGACTTTATAGCAGCAAACACTGGAGTTTCTATTAAAAAGAAAATCTTAAAATTGTAGTTATATTGAATTTTGTACTGATATTTTATTTTACTTTTTAATTTAAATTTTGTCATTAGGGCCAAATAGAATTTACATTAGTCTAAATTGAATTGCAAAATAAACAAATTTTATGTACCAGTTTTAAACTTTCTTGTTTTTGTGCCCATCTCTGTGTATTTACTTATTTTCTCCATTTGCTGATTTGTCTCAAAGTTTTATTATTTTCTATCTAAATGAGCTCTCTAAACCAGCCCTCAACTCATTGATTTGTGTAGCCTTCTTGCCCCACAACTGCATTTCTCTCGCACAATGATCTTTGCCCTCGAGGAGATAAACAACAGCACAGAACTCCTGCCGGGCATCAGACTTGGATACCAGATCTATGACTCGTGTGCTTCAGTGCCTGTGGCTGTGCACATAGCATTTCATCTGTCAAATGGCCACGATCATATTTTTTACAAAGACAGTAATTGTTCCCAATCTGGTGTTGTGATGGCAGCTGTGGGTGAGACTGGATCAACGCCATCCATCAGCATGTCACGCATCTTTGGGCCCTTTCATTTTCCTCAAGTAAATTATTTGAATTTGTTACAAATTAAACTGTAAAAACGTACCTACTGATTTGAAAAGTTTGTTCTTTGTCTGTTGAAGCTACATTGTTCTTTTTTTTTAATCATTCTAGGTGAGCCATTCTGCCTCTTGTGCCTGCCTTTCTAATAAGCAGCAGTATCCAACATTTTTCAGAACAATTCCCAGTGATCAGTTCCAAGCTGATGCTCTGGCCAAACTGGTGAAACACTTTGGCTGGACTTGGATAGGTGCTGTCCGCTCCGACTCAGATTATGGAAATAACGGAATGGCATCTTTTCTTGCTGCAGCAAAGAAAGATGGAATCTGTGTGGAGTACTCTGAATCCTTTGATAAGACCAACTCCCATAGGAAGATCCAGAAAGTGGCAGATGTAATCCGCAGGTTTTCTAATTTTCTGACTTTGCTATTCAAGGTTGAAGGTTCTTTATTGTCATTCACATCACATGTGGCACATGAGGTGGAACACAGGCATCAGATTGTTGTCCTATTGTTGTTATTGTTTGCAACACAAAACATATCTAAAAGTATTTAGTCTTCAGTTAGTTTAAATAATAATTATCCAATAAAAAACTTTCAATATGTTTTTTTTAATATATATTAAAGTAAAGTCAAGATACATTAAACACCACCAGTTATGGTTTTATGTGCTTTTCTTTAATGTAGCCCACATAAAACATGCATATCAAGTATTTAGTTTTGGTTAGTATAACTTAATGCTTCTTTTTGTCTCTTTAGTTCAACAGCAATGGTTGTTGTGGCATTTATAGATAGTTCAGATATGAGGGTCTTGTTGGAGGAACTGGCTCGAAACCCTCCTCCACCTCGTCAGTGGATCGGAAGTGAAGGCTGGATAACTGACTCGTTCTTTACGAGTTACAGCTTCTGTGAAGGGTCCATTGGAGTTGCCATTCAGCAATCATTTATTCCAGGTCTAAGAGATTTCCTGCTGGATCTCTCTCCCACTGAAGTAGCTGCCTCCTCAGTGCTCACTGAGTTCTGGGAGGATGCATTTAACTGCACATTGACAAAAAGTGAGAAAAATGTATGGATTTTTTTTTCTATTGTTCTTTGCTTTCCTTCCACTTATTTTGTTCCTATCAGTTTCTGATATGGCAAATTTGCAATTATAAATTTAATTATCATTGAATAAACAGTGGGGCAGAACGGTGGCGCAACTGGTAGAGCTGCTGCCCCTCAGCGAGCAGGTCCTTGGTTCGAACCCTGGTCCAGGAGCCTTTCTGGGTGGAGTTTGCATGTTCTCTCCGTGCATGCGTGGGTTTTCTCCGGGTACTCCGGTTTCCTCCCACAGACCAAAAACATGCATGTTAGGCTGATTGGTAACTCTAAATTGTCCCTAGGTGTGAGTGAGAGAGTGAATGGTTGTTTGTCGTCTCGTTTGTCTCTATGTGGCCCTGTGATGGACCTGTGACCCGTCCAGGGTGTACCCCGCCCCTTGCACAGTGATTGCTGGACATGGGCACCGGTGACCCCCGTGACCCAAAATGGAATAAGCGGGTAAAGAAAATGGATGGATGGATGGAGGAATAAACTGTGATTTTATTCTATTTACAACTGCACAGAAAATGTCCATAAAATATTGAGAGTTGCTACATTTTTGAAAAATCGTACAATTCTCAGTTTTGGATTTACAAAGTAAATATAACATGTCGCCAATATCAGATCAGTGTTTCAATAGTGCATTTAGCGTTATGAGCAAACCTACATCTCTCTGTACATGGAATGAGAATTATTATTGCAGTTTACCTCTGAAAGAAAAAAACATTCTGTTTATGTCTTTGTGTGTCTTTAGAAGCCATTTCAAACAGGAGAATGTGCGATGGAACTGAAGACATAAAAACTCTCAAAAACTCGTACACCAATATATTCCAGTTAAGAATGACAAACATGGTGTACAAGGCTGTTTATGCAATAGCTCATGCCATTCACAACGCATTGTGTCAGAGAACAAATCTCACCATTCAGTGTGATAAAAATATCAGACTGGAGTCCAAACAGGTCAGAAAAAAAAAATAAAAATCTGTGATCATATAGCTTTAAAACCTATTTTGAATGAGCAATTGTTTACTTTAAATTTCTTAAAATAAATAGGTTTTATCACAACTGAAAAAAGTAAACTTTTCCCAAAATGGTTATCCTGTGTCATTTGATGCTAATGGGGATCCAGTGGCTTTTTATGAACTCGTCAACTGGCAGAAGAGCGAGAGAGGAGTTATTGAAGTGGTAGCAGTTGGATACTATGATGCATCACTGCCAAAAGGACAGGAGTTTCAAATCAACAAAAACATAACCTGGGTGCAGGGAGAAACACAAGTAAACAAGCAACTGACAGTGATTAGGCAATAAAGGCTTAAATGCTTCATATAAAAAAAGAGTTGTATATGTGTTTGTGACAGGTTCCAGTGTCAGTGTGCTCTGAGAGTTGTCCTCCAGGAACACATAAAGTGTTGCAGAAAGGAAAACCCATCTGCTGCTATGATTGTATACCATGTCCTGAAGGAGAGATCAGTAATATGACAGGTAACATCAAATGTTTTGCATGTATAATTCCATTTCTTGTATTATATATTACTTTAAAACTTTGTTATTCGGTGCACATAATTTATTACTAGACAGCTAATAGTCTGATTTGAACTACATTTTCAGATTCACCTGATTGCTTGCCATGTCCCAGTGAATACTGGCCTAAAGCAGAAAACGATTATTGTTTCCCCAAACCTGTGGAATTCCTGTCTTTTGATGAAGTCCTGTCAATCATTCTGGCTGCTTTCTCTATAATGGGGACCTGTCTGGCCGTCATAACAGCAGTTATTTTCTTTCATACCAGAACAACTCCAATTGTCAGAGCCAACAACTCTGAGCTGAGCTTCCTGCTGCTCTTCTCTCTGACTCTATGTTTTTTATGTTCATTAACTTTCATTGGAGCTCCCTCTAAAAGGTCCTGCATGCTGCGACACACAGCTTTTGGTATCATTTTTGTTCTCTGCATTTCCTGTGTTCTTGGGAAAACTGTGGTGGTTTTAATGGCCTTCAAAGCTACACTTCCTGGTAGTAATGTCATGAAATGGTTTGGGCCTCCACAACAAAGACTGACTGTTGTGTCTCTCACATTAATCCAAGTTTTGATATGTACAGTTTGGTTGATTCTTAGTCCTCCTTTTCCAATGAAAAATCTGACTACATACAAGGAGAAGATCATCCTGGAATGTGCATTAGGCTC